CACAGGGAAGCCCACGCTGGAATGGACGATATAAAATGAACTTCAGAAGCCTGGCCCTTGTCAGCCTCGTAGCTTCCTCCTACTCTCCCATCCCCACCTGCGACACCAAGCTCTCCCAGGGCCTTTCCACACGCCACTCCATCGGGCTCTCATGCTCTTCCCCCAAGTCTCTGCCTGCCTTACATACTCTTACTGGTTGTGCTCAGCAGCCACCTCTTCCAGGGCTCCTCCCTCCATGCTTGGCACTAGGTGGCCTATTCACATTCCTATCATAGCATCTGTAGGCTACTTCCCACTAGGTTTTCCTCTCTGGATTCCTTTTCCCTCGGTCCTCCCAGTGCCTAGCACAACGTCCGGTGCTTAGTAAACACGCAGTATCTGCTAAATGGATGAAATAATCCCCAAATTAACAATGATTCCCACTTCTCGAGCTCCTCTCCCTCCACACGTCACCATAACCTCTCCTGATCCTGAACACTGCTTTATCCTCTAAAAAAAACCAAGCTGCTTCCAAAATCTCCCTACTTCAGTGCTCTGATGTTGCTTAAATACTTTCACTTCTTTAAAAGACACAGGGCTTCCCTGGTGGCGCAGCGGTTGAGAGTCTGCCTGCCGATGCAGGGGACACGGGTTTGTGCCCCGGTCCAGGAAGATCCCACATGCCGCGGAGTGGCTGGGCCCGTGAGCCGTGGCCGCTGAGCCTATGCATCCGGAGCCTGTGCTCCGCAACGGGAGGGGCCACAACAGTGAGAGGCCCGCGTACCGCAGGAAAAAAAAAAAAAAAGACACAAAAGCTGAATAATAACTTCAAATATTAAAATAACACCAATATTTTGACAGTCAATAAATCAGACAACTTATCATTAACGGTAAGTTCTTTCTGCAGCTAAGATTTCAACGGAGCTCTTTCGTACCCCTTTCCAAAATTTTGATTCTATTATTGGTTGGTGTTTTATGGAACCTGCCGAATGCCTCTGAGGAGATGAGGAATAACTGCTGAAGGGAATAAAGGCCATTTCACCACTGGCAGGTTCTTGTTTCCACTTTCGGCTAATTCCAATTAGTTCTGGGTTATAAAGCCTGTCATCCCGTTAGTGAGTGGTCTATTATCATGAACATCTCTCAAGTGTCTTCAGATAACATTTGCTATGAAAAATTTACTTGGGCAGTCTTAACTGCAGCTGACAAGGCTAGATCTTTTTTGTGAGGAATGACCAGCTGAATTTACTTTCATTCCTAACTTCTAATTCTTATCTACTTACCATATGACCCAGCCATCCCACTCCTAAGCCCTTACCAAAAACTTATGTTCAGACAAAAGACCTGTATGCAGATGTTTATAGCAGCTTTATTCCCAAACACCAAAAACTGGAAATAATCCTAATGTCTTTCAACGGGAGAACAGAGAAACAAACCGTGGTACATCCATACAGTGGTCGACACAACTTGGCAATAAAAAAAAGAACCACGTATGGATACAGAAGACAACATGGATGCCTTTCAAATGCACTTTGTAAGTCAAAGAAGCCATTGGTATGGCATTCTGGAAAAGACCAAATATACGGGCAGAACAAATCGCTGGCTGCCGGGAGGCTGGAGTGGAGAGAAGAGTCTGACTGCAAAGGGACAGCAGGAGGAAAGTTTTTCAGGCAAGGGAACTACTCCCTATGGGTAGTGGTGGCGCATACACAGCACTACACGCTTGTCAAAACCCATAAAACCATGGGTTTTACTGTATGTAAATTTAAAAGTAAAAAAGGGTAAAAAGTTAATTATTTAACCATGACATAGTTAAAGATTATACGCCAAATACAGGCACGCCTCCTTTGCGCTTTCCTTTACTGCACTTCACAGATACTGTGCTTTTTTTTTTTTTACAAATTCAAGGTTTGTGGCAACTGTGCATTGTCAGGTGATAGTTAACATTTTTTTCAGCAATAAAGTATTTTTTAATAAAGATACGTACGTTGTTTTTCTAGATACGCTACTGCACACGTTACAGTACAGTGTGAACATAAATTTTATACATACCGAGAAACCAAGAACTTCAAGTGACTTGCTTTACTGCGATCATCACTTGCTGGCGGTGGTCTGGAACCCAGACCCACGGGATCTCTGAGGTACTGCCTGTATAATTAACACAAAGGTGTGGATTTCCTCGACGTTAAACAGTGGCTGTTGTTATTATTTTGTTGCTACTGTATTGCACTGATGAGGAAGGAATGTTAGGGGGACGGGGTGGGGGGCAACCCCAAGTCTTTCCCCCCTCCCCGTGCTGGCAACCTTTGCGAGGCTCCACAGGAAGGCAACCTCCACCCCAGCTGTGAACAGCTAAATGGAGTTCCACCAAGGATATGGGAAAGCTTATTCACAACCAACGGGAGACAGACGGTACCCCACAGTACAGCTCAAGAAAGCATTTCAAGGGAAGAAATAAAGGCGGCGGGGGGGAGGGGGGAGAGACTACAAATCCTGAAGTTCTAACTCATCCTAGTCAAAGGTATCAGCAGAAAATTCCATCCACGTGTTGGCTGCAGCATTCCTAGACCCTCCTTTAGAAAGGAGTCAAGGTGGGAGGTGGGTGGGGAATCTCTTTGTGAGAAAAGACAGCAAAAGAGAGAGAGAGAGAGAGAGAGAGAGAGAGAGAGAGAAGGCGAGCGAGAGTTCTCCTAAACCAGGAGGCTGAGAGTTCTAAAAACCCTGGATCCAACGTTCTTTAACATGGAAAAAGTGATGCTAAGTAGGCAAATGATAAAAACAAGCAAAGGTTCACCACCCAGTGACACTTTCTTTCCAGCGGACCCTCGTCAGCCAAACCGACGCATTCTTCCTCCAGAGGGGACGGCCCGCCTGGCGTCCTTGGAGACTGCCCCAGGCAATCCCGAGCAGGCGCTGGGCTCCGGGCTCCAGGTGTGGCTGCCCACAGGGCGACAGATGGGGGGGGGGGGGACCCGGAGGGCGCCAAGGGTGGGTGCCACCCTACTCCCACCTGGCTCTTCTGGGCAAGAGGATACTGCGGCTTCTCCGCACTCACATTCCCGAGCCCAGAAAACTCTGTTCCTCTCCGGGAGACCTGGGCCTGCCACATCCTCAGAGCCCAGCATGAGATCGCCACCTGAGACAAACCTCCAGCCAAGATGGGCTCCTGATTGCAGCCCTGGAGAACCAGCTCTCTGACCTGCAACGGCTCTCTGCAGCTGGAAAGTGGAAAGACGGGCCTGCGTGCAAAGCAAATGCTATTTTCCAGGCGCCTTCTGGGGGGAGGGGGAGTAACAAATCTAAAAACCACAGAGAGTAAACCAGAACGTTCTGGGACACGCCACGCCTTACAAAAAGGGCTTTAAAACATCCTATCAAGAAACAGTCACTGCAAGGGGTTAGCTGTCAAAGGTAAATAAAAATCACTGACTTTCTAAAGATAGGAGTGAAGGACTCAATTATAAAACAGCTTATTGTAGTATTAAGCTAATTAAGGTTTATCACATTAGCCATCTGAGTTTTAGTTGGCACCAGAAAAGCAGGAACAGCATATCATGCAACGTGGATTGGGATCTGCTTTGCAAGCAGATTTCTGCCACATTCAGACACAGAACCTCTGGCAGTCAAAAATGTTGCAGAATTGAAAACCAATTTTCGCACAGTGATTTGTCAAGAATCTTGTTCCATCACGTGAGCTATTTACTGGTCTCCCGGTCCGAGATTACATTTATCTCTATTAAATACCACACAAAGTATTCTGAGCTAACCATGCCCTGTTGTTTCTCTTTTGCCAGTTTTATCACACGCTGGATGCTCTGAAATCCGATGAAAAACATTTCAACAATAAAACCCCTGCATACTTGACACCCTTCACTGCAGATATTCTGCCCACCAACTGTCAGCACAGAACCCATTCTAAGACCCTCGGCACTTCTGAAAAGACTGCTCTGCTGAATGCAAAGAGGAACAAAATACCCTCCACAGAGTAGGGGAGAAATTTGTTTTCAATCGTGTCTTCTATGGGCTCCTCTTGACTGTACTTTTACCAAACCAGAAGACAGAACTAGTTCTATCCGTTGTTGGCGTTCATCTTGGATTTGATTCTGGAACTGCTGGTTTCCTGTTTGGGGAAGTTGCAGTTCTTTTCACAAGGAACCCCAAGGCGAAATGTTTCTTATTCCCCTGTGAGGTCTCACTGCCTTTGTTCTTTACTTTGCTACCACTGATCACTGCTGCTTCTCTCTTCTCCTCTAAAACCTCTTTTGGTTTTGGAGGATGCATAAAAAATGCCAGCTCAAAGCAAACTGTCATCCTTTAAGGCCCTAGACATTTTCTACCATCCGCTGCTGTAAAGCTCTGAGTTAACAGGCATCTTTGCACAGAGGAAGCCAGACTACCCAGTCTTCTCCTGGCATTGCATTAAGTATTCCATATTAAAACGTATGCCACAAATAATCCAATGGCAAACTCACCGTCAACACCCCACCCCCGCCCAAATCAATAAAAGCCATTCCACCACTTGACTCAGAGTGAAAAGCCTTTCAGGTTAACACACAGAGCAAGGTAAAAAGAAAGGTGATGAATGAACAAAAGGCAAATCTACCTGCAGACTCCTCAGATCCCAAAAAGGTGGCTAGGCTGCCTGGATTTGACAAAGTCCTTCCATTTCCCTGTAATCATCGGGGAAAATGCCCCATGTGTACTGCTTTAGTCTTATGCAAAACAGTGCATTCCCCACAAGGCCCTGACGCCTACCATTCTCTTCAACTTGCTTCTTTCCAGGCCTGCCTCTTATAAATGACCAGCCACATGCGATTTAATGAAGTCATTCTGATTTCGCCTTGATAGCAACACTATCATAAAGTCACCCTAATCCCATTAAACTTGGCTAAACGTCAAGAGTATTTCTTCTCCACTCTCCACCCAATATTATCTCCAGGGTACCAATGCACTGTCAATCTGTGTCTGAACGGATCTTCAAATAAATACTTAAATTCATGCTCAAAATTATCATATCTCACCTTGTGAACCTTGACCTTTTGGAAAGACTTTGGACCAATGTTCAGTTACTGTCACACGGTTGCATTCTCTGCAAATATGAAAGGGTTAAAAGCAGCCCCAGTCAACAGGCCTACAAGGAAAAAAAAGACAGCATGTATGCCTTACAGCATCACTGGAACGCATTTATGCTCATTTCCTAGAACAATATTGTTACCTTTTGGCCTTCATAATAGTCAGAAGCATCCCCAAAACCCTTTAGTAGCTTCTAAAAGGAAAAGCACAAAACAGAACATACCCTGCAAGAGAAAAAAACATGCAAAGTAGCATTCTCCAGCAACAAACTATTATTACAAATCCATCAGTTCATTTTGGTTTTGTTTTGTTAAAAATATAGAGGAGAGAGAGAGAGAGTGAGAGAGAGAGAGAGAGAGAGAGAGAGCGAGCCTGCAGAAACCAAGTGTCCCCACCCTAGCAAGGCACATTTTTTTCTTTAATAAGGGTCATAAATCTCAGCTCCTTGTCCATCCCTTAAGCAAAAGAAAAAGGCAGGAAAAGCCCAAGTAATCTCAGACCTTGCAAACCTGCACATTTTCCCCCATCTTCTCTACACAGACTCTTCTAGGGCTCCATTAGTCACGTACCAGTGCTGTGTGGTGTCTAAGTGTGCATTCACATACTGTGTTGGGATGGTCCCTTCCTGCAAGCTCCTCTGCTTTTGGCTGCCATGAAGGGAGGAAGCTGCTATCCCACTGTAGTAGCTCAGTGACTGCATTGTGCTCAGGAGCTGATCTGCCTCAAACCAGTTTCAACCGGTTCTGGTCACCCTACATAAAAAAGCTATGGCAACCCTCGCTGAGTTGCCAACAAGTCCCTGAAAATCATCAGCACAGGGAGGATCTCGCTGGGGGTGGCTGCTCCCTCTTAGGTCTTGGTGAGGACGGGAAGGTCATCGTGGGTCCCCTCCACCGGCGCACAAGCACACAGCCCTGGAAGGGCTCCCCTCACGAGCACCCCAGAGCCCCTCGGGCCCATCCCCCCTCCCGTCCACCCCAAAGCCCACCGCAGACACTGCTGCCCCTCCTTCTCCTTCCCCCACTTACCTCCCACAACCTGGCTCAGATCTTTGTGTACGTGTGTGTCAGTGTGTGTGCTCTGGGTTGGTGGCTGACAAAGAGCCCCCAGGAAAGCAATCTATGTGTGTCTGCTCACCCTGGCTGCGTCGGCGGCAGGGGCCGGCCTCGGCCTCCTAGCAGAGTGCTGCGGGCTTGTTGACCAGGCTCCTCTCTGCCTGTCACCCCCCCACCCAGCCCCCTCCTCCCGTTCCTCTCCTCTCTCTCGCAGCCCTGTCACCACCACCAGCAGCCCCCCAGTCTCCTCCTCCTCCTCCGACCTTCTCTTCTTTCAAGCACCTGGGGGGAGTAGTCCAAATCCCTTCACCTCGGGCAAGAAGTCTAGGGCTGCCCGGGGGGGGGGGGGGGGGGGGGGGAGGCGGACTCGGGGCCAGTGGGACAGAGGGGCACAGAGGCCTTTTAAAAAATCCGCTGCGCAGCGCCAGCGCCGGAGGGGGGAGGAGGCGAGCGGCGGCGCTCACGTGGCCCCCCTCTCGGAACCTGCGGGGCCTAGCCAGACCGGCTGGTCCTCGGCCCCCCCAAGGAGGCCGGCGGGGCGCGAAGGCCGGCCGGCCCCAAGGCCAGGGTGGGACAGGCCGCGGCCGTCAGGCCCAGGGGCCGGAGCCTCACGCGCCGGCCCCGACCGCAGGGCCGGGCACGAGGGGCCCGCGCCCCCGCCCCTCGCCGGAGCCCGCCCGCGCCGCTTCCTCCGCGGCCCTGCACCCCTCGCTCGGCCCGGCCGCCCCCTCGCCGCCCCCCGCGTCCCGGGCGCACACCCACCCCCTGCCCGGGGTTGGCCTTCGCAGCGGTCAAGCCCGGGCGTCTGGGCCGCAGCTCGGATGACCTTTGTTCAGCGCGGCGCCGCCGGCGGCTGCTGCTGCTGTAGCTGCTGCTGCTGTCGTCGTAGAGGCGGCGGCGGCGGCGGCGGCGGCGGCGGCTTCCATGTTACGGGCGTGTCAGCCGCATTCCCGCTGCCGGGGTCGAGGTGTGCGTGTGCGGCGGAGGGGCCTCGCCGCCGGTGCCGCCGCCGATGCTGCCGATGCAGCCGCCGCCGCCGCCGCGCTGAACAAAGGTCATCCGAGCTGCGGCCCAGACGCCCGGG